TTCCTTCAAATCGGCTCCCTCCGACTGCCCCTTGGCCCCTCTCCTTCCTCTCTGAGCATCAGGGCTGACGCAGACGCACTTTCCATCCTCTGGGCTTTTTCCATGACCTGCAATCTGCCTGCAGTCGGTTCCTTCCCTTGGAAGCCCCTTGGCTGGTTCTTTGGGATGGTGCTCGCTGCTGCGCTCAGGTCCTTCAAACTCCTTCTAGTCTGACCTCTGACCCTCGCCGTGGCCTTGCGGCCAGGCCTCCTTGGCCCACCCTGTCACTTGCGCACCCCACTCCTGAGAGCCAGGCAGGTGCCAACGCTCACATCTGTTTCCGCCTCCTCTGCCCCGTAAGTCTAGAGCCCCCGACTCTTCCCTTGGACGTCACCTGGTAAAAAGGCGGCCTCTGATCTCCCTGCTGACAATTCGTCTTCACTTAGGGGCTTGCAAAGCAGTCTGGCTGCCGCGAGGGTAGAGGCAGGACCTTCTGTGACTCAATAAGAGGTTTCCCTTCCTGTGCTTCGTTTGTGTCTGGGGCTAAGATGATGCCTCTTTATGCACCAGGAGGGTGAGCCAAAGAAACAGAGCTTTCCTGTGCCGCTGGGGTGGGAGGCAGGAAAGAGAGGGCTGTGATGTTTCAGGGCTGGGGGCCTGGGTTCCAGGGGCTGCCCCTCCGCGGGCACCAGGAGAGTCGGCAGTACCGGTGGGAGGGGAAGCTGACCTAGGCTGCTGCGGGGCTCCCGCCAGCTGTGGCTGTGGCTGGGAGGACGCAGGCCAGCGGGCATCATTTACGAGGTCACCAAGAAGGAACTGGCCAAGCCACTCTTTGGGACCCACAACAATCACAGTCACTGGGCAGTTTCGGGCCACGAGAATCTGAACTCCTCAAATCTGTAGGCCTGTCGGACTCAATCTGCCTCCAGTCTGCATAGTTTTTGAATGTATCAGGACGCGTGGAGAAGTTTAAGAGTTTATTATGATCTCAATTTTCTCCTGTTGAGACCTCCAAGGCAGCTAATGTCTCCAGGCCAGAGAAGGCTCGGTCGTTGCCCTGGATCCAACAGGCAACGCCCCTCCATCACCCGGCCCTCGCTCACCAGCTCTCCTCCGCTGGGCCCACTGCTGCTCCTTTCAGAAAGGAAAGCGTCTGGCATTTGGCAGGGAGCTCAGGTGTCTTGACAAGCTCCAAAGGTGAAACAGAAAACTTTCCCGGTGCGATTTTCCTATTTGATCTTTTGTCTCATGTGTTCCCCTTGGGGACGAACAAGAACTACTTCTCTGAATAATTCATAGGCCCCGGGGTAGAAACACGCTGCCTCTTTTTAATAAAAAGGCTGGGTGCTCGGTGTTGATTATACCTCTTCTGTGATACTTCAGCAAAAGCAGGGAGATCTCAAAAGCTCTTTACAGATTCCTCTTACAATAGTGAGACAAAAATGAAAAGCCATGGAATATTTTTAACCAAACAAACTAATGTTTGGATAATACGTAAAATTATTTATAAAGCTGTATTGAACTACAAAATGCTCATAAAGGGAAGTTGAAAATTAAATGATTGTAATTATTACAAGGTCTGATTTATTTTTAAAACTGAAAATGATTGTCTTCAGTTTTCTATTTAATGAGCACCTACTAGGTGCCAGGAGCTCTGCTGGCCTCGTTATGTAAACCATTTCATGTTGTTCTCACAAATGAACTGGGTAAGGAACAGCTCAATGCACAGAAACACCGAGGCTCTTAGAGGTTAAGTGACTAGCCCAAGGTGTCCCGGGGGCAGGGACAGGGCTGAGTTTGAACCCAGATCTGGCTCAGAAGGATATGTTTCCCATGGTTCCTAATGCTGGGCACCTGGGCCCTCTTCTGCTGAAAACCACTAGTTACTGCTCAGCTCCATCTACATTTTGTGATGTTACTGTGAGCAATGGTGAGAGAACAAAGCCTTTGGGACCCTTTGGAGAACATTTTACTTATTGGTTACAAAACCGTATCCTCTTAGCACTGGACAGAAACTCACAGCCTATCTAGTTGAATATTTTCATTTTACAGCAAGGAAACCGAGTGCGGAGAGCTTATGGGCTTTCCCCAAAGTCAGAGAGCGAGCGAGTGACACGGCAGGGCCAGAATTCTGTCCCTGGACACCTTGTCCGGTGCCCGTTCCTCCACGTCACACCCCCCTGATCATACACGCTGGGCTCCCAAGGGCTGCCCACCTGAAGGACACCTCGGCTGCATTACGGGCTTTTCCCTTCCCGTGGCTCATGAAATCAGAGATGTCCTACCGCTAAGAATGAAATACAAATTCAGAAGCTAAGTCTGGCCGACAGGCCCAGAGAAAGCAGCTTTTCACCCGCTCCCTGGACCCGGTTCATCTCCAAGTCTCCACCCAGACTCTCGCAGGAAGGGGACAGCAGACGGGCGGCTCCTGGGCAGCCGCTGTGCCCCACGTGTGAGTGGTCTAACTGACCCCGCCCAACTGAAACCGAGGTGGTCGGGTGGCCAACTCCCAGGCAAGGAAGGGAGGGGAGCAGTGGGGCAGCCCCGGGCTCCTGGCCGGGCACCCAGAGGAGGGGCATGTGCGGCTTCAGAGCCACCACACCCGTATGCAGTGTGGACGCTGTGATGACTTACCTGGGTCCTCTGGGCACAGTAGGGCTGCCCCCGTCCTCTGACAGGATGCTCCCACTAGCCAGTGGCCTCGGAGACAGGCTGGGGTCTCGGCTCCCTCAAGGTAAGAGAGCCCCCCAGGAGGTAAAGTGCTCTGACTTCTGTACTGAAGGCTCCCCAAGGTGCGGACACCCCCAAGGTGGCTGCTATAAGCAGCTCGGAGACCAAGATGACAATGACAGTGCCCAGGGCCACAAATATGTCTTTATTAAACCCAGAGCCACAAGGTGGCTTGGACTGCTGGCCGGAGACCGCTGACTCAAAACTCTCCTCTCACACCGACCAGGACCCCCGGGCAGGGTCGCTGAGGCTGTGCGCTGCCGATTCCTACGAGCTCCATTTGCGTAAACTACAACCAAACGGCGCTCGCTGGCTTGAAGCACCTTGACAGCCTGGCAGCCCAGGTGCATCTGGCCTTTGGAACTGGAGCAGGGTTTGAGGGTCAAGAACTACGTGCTGCTTCCCGGGGGACCCCTGGTCCAGGGCTGGAGGCCCCGCCAGCGCTCAGACTCACCAGCCGCTGCATGCTTTTCACGTGGGTGGGGCTTATGGATAAGGCCTCTTCGTACCACCGCCGGGCCTCCTCGATGTTTCCTCGGAGCTCGGCAACCTGGCCTCGCATGTACAGGACGTTGTGGGACATCGGGAAGAGGTTGGCAGCTTCTTGGGTACAGGCTGTGGCTTCTGCCGGCTTCCCAATGCCGATGTAGACATCAGCTGTGAGGAGGAGAGCACAGGCAGATGCTGTCCTGGGCCACCGCCCTTCAGAGGCCCTGGGACATCGCCTCCCCTCCACCACGGGAGCCTGGCAGGGGCCCACCTGGAATACGCAGGGCCCAGCCAGCCAGCCTAGCCCCCAATCCCAAGTGGAAACAGCCGCGGGCTGACGGTCCTTCCCGCCCACTGTTCACAGGCACTCGAGTCAAGGCCGTGCGGCCTGGGAGGGGACACTTGTCACCACCGATGAGACGGGAGTGAGGCCTGCCTGGGCCCTGCCCCCCATTCGGAGGTCACGCATCCTCAGGGCGCACCAGGGACACCTGCCCTCAGCTCTGGCAGCCACAGAAGAAGGGCTGGATGAACCCAGGGACAGGCAAACCAGAGCGGCACAGCCCCTCACAGGGCAACGGCTCTGCTCTCGGGCTGGTTCCCCTGATGCCAGGAAGTGTGACAAGGCCAGCAGGCGGTGCTGCTATGGGCACGACATAAAATCACTGCTCCATCAGACCCTGCCCTGGACCGACCAGGGAAAGCCACTGCACCGGGGGGACTAGTAACTGTATAACACTGACGAGCCATCGCTTTCCAAAAAGCAGGAAAATGAGCTCTCCTCCAATCTTAGGTCTCAAGTCTCCCACGCCTACGTGGAGGGTCCCTAATTGCTCTGCAGCCCTGGCTTCCATCATGCACGTCCCGTGCCCCCAGCCATCCCCAGGTCTGCTCAGATCCCTCATTTCCTTAGGGCCCTGAGGTCACGGCCCCACCGCCTCTCCAATGTAGGGCCTGTGTTGGCTGGATGTGGGAAGACTCCTCTCCCTCCTCAGCCACACCTGTCAAGACCACCGCCCAGAGCCCCGCTCAGGTGGCCGCTGTGCTCCGGGCCCACGGACCCCTCCTCCCACCCCCGGGGCAGCCCCTTCCTCGCCCGCTCCTGCCCTGACTGCTGGCCTCCACTCCTGGCAGAGAAGGAGGTTTTGTGCCCATATCTCCAAGTTACGTGTATATGCACACGTTGTGTATAACAGAAGGCACACGAGAATAGGAATGATAGAAGAACACAATACAAAGAAAGAGAAAACGTTGACTTTTTTCCTCACGCCCCTCCTGTCACTCCTCCAGCCCCTCTGTCCCGCGCAGCCACTGACAGACCAGCCTCCCCAGGCAAAGCTCCGGTGGGGTCACCACCCTGCTGCAAAGCGCTCCTTCCGTTCCTGGGCACCCCTCACCCCCTTCAGTCTTCCCCGGAACGGCCTCTGGGAGGCTTCTGCTGGCCATCCCACCTAAAACTGCTGCTCCCCCTACCCCGTCCTGGCCCAGCACGACCCAGTTCCTTTCCCTGCTTTCCCTTCCGGCCAATACCAGGCTCACCCTGTCTGTCTCACTCACTGTCTGGGGGGCCCCTCTAGAACATAAGCCACCACCTTCACACTATTCACTGCTGTGTCCCCAGCGACCGGATGAGCGCCTGGCAGTCAGAGCGCAAGAAACGGTTGCGAACGAATGAACGGTAACAGTAGCTAATCATCATCAAACGTGGGCTTTGTGCAAAGAAGTGCTCTCATTTCTGCTTTTGTCTGCACGGTGATCCACTAGGTACTATTATTTTATCCCCGTTATACAGACGAGGAAACTGCGGCACAGACAGGCTGAGCAATTTGTCCGAGGTCCCAGGGCAAGGTACGGGCAGGCGTGGCTTTGCGGCTGTGCTCTCAGCTCTCTACAGAGAACAGTGTCTCCCCTGCCCCCAGATAACATCCAGACCCCTTTGCCTGGCATCCGGAGCCCTTGGTGACTGTCTCTACCACCCCTACTAACCTGTGTTCTTATTGCGTCCTACACCCCTGGGCTCTGCCGTGTTAAGCTGCCGCTATTTCCCTGGGCTTTTGTTTATTCTCTTGCCTCTGCCCTGATGGTGTCACCCCTGTACCCCCTTTAAAGCCCAGCTCAACGGCCACCACCCCCGGAAGCTACCTCTGACCCCGTCCCACCGCCCCAGCTGGAAGGGGAGCCCAGCCTGGGTATCCCTCTGATGGCTGTGTCCCTAGAGACATTTTGTGAGGGGTCCTGGCTACGCCCCCGGACAGCACGTTCTGCTGACATCCACCCTTCTATCTCCCCACCTCCAGCTTCAGGTGCGGAGACTGGATATTCTGGACAGGGTGTGGTCAGTGTCGATGCCACTGCATGGCCCTCTCCTAAGCACCTCACTTCCCTGGTGACCATAGTCACACCAGTGACTGACTCCTCAGGCTATGAACAAGCCCGGGGGAGGCACAGACCCACCCTGCACCCCATCTGTGCTTCTGGCCGTCAGTCCCCCTCAACAGGGAGCAGAGGTGATGGGCTGGCCCAGGGACCTGCGGGGAGAGGCCCAGCCTCTCAGACCTGGAAACTCGGACACTCACATACAACTGAGCTCTAAGTGTGGCCGGGCCGGCACTGCGCCTGCCTCACGTCCTCCGAGACTCCTCTCTTGAGGTACTTACTGAGCACCTACTACACACGGGGCCTCTGTAGGAACAGAGACCACACGCGTCTGTCCTTCCGCCTGGGCCTCTGCAAAATCTGCCCTCCTGGGAGATAGACACGCAGGGCTGCCCGCTGTCTTCCAGTAACACGACTCTCTCCAAGCTCCCGCCAGAAGAGTCCGGGGTGTATCTGGCAGTTTCAGGTTCCGGAGCCTGGCGGCTGTGGGGGCAGCAATACAGAATGTTCCTCCCACTGTATGCTGCCTCCTGACTTGCTTCCCTTTGGGGGTGAGTTCGTGTTCATTTCCAAGGTCCCAGGGCTGCCTGTGGGTGGGTGAGACGCCACAGGCCCCTCCCATCTAGATCGCTCCGGAATAAAGGCCAACTTGGGAGAGCGGGGACGAAATGATTCCAGAGCTTTGTTTAGCTTTTGCTTTTTAAATTTTATTTTATTTTATTTTCATTTATTTGTTTTTTGGCTGCTTCGGGGCTTAGTTGCGGCACGCAGGCTCTTCATTGCGGCGCGTGGGCTCCTCTCTAGTTGTGGCGTGCGGGCCTAGTTGCCTCGCAGCATGTGAAATCCCAGTTCTCCGACCAGGGATCGAACCCGCATCCCCTGCATTGGAAGGCAGACTCCCAGCCACTGGACCACCAGGGAAGTCCCCAGAGTTTTTATAACAAGAAACAAGGTGTATGTTGCAGCGGGGGGCGGGGGGGGAGCCTTGAACACCAACACAACAAGGTAGATGACACCCTGTTCTGTGTGGGTCCCCGTGAAAACAAACATGGGACCGAGTGTCTTCTTGGTTCCGTGTCTTCGGCTACAGGTCTGGTGCCTCTCCTCCCTCCTCGTGATGAGGAAACAGACGACGGGGGCTGAGCTGAGTCATAATTGAGAAGGTGGGAGAGAGGATCCAGACCCCCGAGCACTTCTTTGCCGTGCTGTCCGAGTTGTAGGGGCAGGCTCACGTCACTGCTGCGGCCTGCGCTCCCGAGGCAGAGGGGCGGGCGAGTGCACGGCCTGTGCTGCTCCCTGACCCCTCCGTTTTAAGATCAAACAGAAGGACACAGGCGCAACGGGCTGGGGTGATTTTCAAACCATTTCTCCCCAGTGGAGCCTCTTTCCTCCAAAGAGATCTTAAGAGTGGACAGCTGGCCTCCCCTCTTGGTTTGGCCCCCTCTCCGGGTCTCTGAGGCAGCACTGTCTCCACCTTATTCAAGCCCTCCTTCTCCTTGCTACCAGGACTCTAGGGTACCCCGTTGGTCAGCCAGTGTCAGGGGAACATGGAGGGTTCGATCCCTGCGCCCAGGCCTTGTGTGTGACCTTGGGCAAGGCCATCAACTTCTCTGGGCCTGTTCACCTGCCAGGTGGGGCCTGAGGCTGGCCCGCGTCTCTACCAAGAGGGTGGAAGCCTGGAGCCTTGAATGCCCGCATTCTCGGCTTGCTCCTGCGGGCATGATGCTGGGCTCTGCCCCTGCGACAGCGAGGCCAGCAATTCGGGACGGGTGAATTCGATCAGCTGTGATGCACTGGGAGCCCAGCTGAGGCCAGGAGTCATGATGCATCCTCCGATTCAGCCTCCCTGGGCACAAAGCTGGGAGTGTGATCTCCATCTCACTCCCTGTCTCTTTCTTAATTGGCTCAGAACTCAGGACGTAAACAGAGGTGTACTATTTCCCTAAAGCCTCCAAAAAATGTGATCGGTATTGTCTTTTCCCACTAAAACTATGAGCAACTTCCAGCCACGTCACCTCTGCATCCCTTAGCACAGGACCTAGCACTTAGTAGGTGCTTAAGGAAAGACTGTAGACTAATGGACACTGCTGCGGGTCAGAGGAAGGCAACCGTCTCTGTGGCCCAGGTCGATGAGGAGTCAAAGGTCAGAGAAGCCACAGCAAGTGATGCTCCCCTGACCCCTTCACCAAGGGCTAAATTCAAGTGAAAACAAAAAAAAACACAAAAAAACCCACAAAGGGCCTTTTGAGCTCATTAAGAGATATAAGAGCTTGTACCGAAGGAACAGCAACAGAGAGGGAAGCTGGCTCTGGGAACTTAAAGCTGATCGGCTCCTAACAAGAACATAGTTCAGCGCAGTGTCAGAGCCCCCGCTGCGGGACGGGCTCTGAAGGGTCACTCTCTGAAGAGGTCACAGGGACAGAGTCTGTCCTGGTCGCTGGCAGCTGACAGCCTCTAACCAAAGGTAAGGTGCCACGCAGGGTCACGGACACTTTCTACCCCTTTCTGAAGCTCACACTAAGCTCTGGCTGTCCTCTCTGGACTCCCCTGCCTTCTCCTTGCTACCAGGTTACTATGAAAAATGCTGGAAATACCCCTCCACCCCACCCCCGCTTGCAAACCCTCAATGGTTCCCAACTGCAGGTGAATGTAACCCAGATGTTTTTGCTTCCCGTTCTAAACTAGGACCCTGCTACCTTTTCACTCCCTCCGTGCTCCATTCACGGTCTCACCTCCACACCTTGGCTGTGCTGTTTCTTCTGCCCAAAGTGCCTTCCCTGTACTGTTGCAGACCCATCACTCCTCACCCTGGGCTCCCGCAAACCTCGCCCTGCACATGACGTCCCACCAAACCCCACCCTGCACACGACTTCCCCAGACAGGCCTGGGTGCGTCACCCCTCCACTGCCCTGCGTGCTCTGGGAAGTCCCTCACCCCAGGCTGCCCCGTGCTCCCGTGACTTGTGTTATCCCATAGAGGTCACGTCCCTGGAGGGCCGGGATCAAGTCCACTCCCCTGTGCGTTGTGCCTCGCGCAGAGGGCTTTCCGAAATCGTTGGTCATACCAAGCTAAAGATGGGATCTGAAAAGGGCTGAGCTATAGTGCCAAGGTCCGGGGCCTCTTTCCTCCTCAGTGGTGAAGGGGGCTCCCGATAGGGGGACCTGGAGCGGGATACACCCACAGCCCCGCACGGGGCCCAGTTTCCTCACTCGTTCATTCACTCTTCTGACACTTGTCAAGCACCTGCTTCACGTCGGCTGCAAGGCTGAGAACCGGCTCCCATTGCCTGCCTTGGGCTCAGGGCTGTTTGGGTCGTGCGCCGTGCAGAGGCGCTGGGCGGAGTGGGGCTGACCAGCCTGGACCCTGCTGGCCAGCTGTGAGCCTGGCGTAGGGCTGCATCTGCCCCTGGAAAGCGAGGAAGCTCTTCTCACCAAGGTGCCTTCAGCTAAGGCACACCTGCTCCCTGGGGCTTAGCCTACCCAGAGGGGACATTCCTGTGAAACTCACACAAAGGAGCCGTGTATGTGAGAGGTGGCCCGAGGGCTGTACCTGTGTGCGAGCCATCAGATCCTCCATTCCACCAGAGGTCCGGCAGAGAGGGATGCAGAAAAAGGCGCGTGGGCCATCAGCTTCTCTTGGTCTTGCAGGCAGCAGGGAGTTACGCCTGCAGACTCGCCGACCCCCCGAAACCATTTCCCTTTCCCCAAACCCTGCTTCCCTAGAGAGAGGAGACTTGGGAAACAACCTTAGCTGGTCCTGGGACAGCCTCCGCCGCGGAGGGCAGGGCAGCGCCAGGGCTGGGCGCACGTGTCTGCCAGGAGACCAATGTCTTTGTCTCCACCTTATTCAAGCCCTCCGCAGCATTTCCTACCTCCCATACGCACTTAAAAATCATTATTTTACAATGGGGAGAGGGAAGGGGGCAGGGGCAAGGGAGGGGTAGGGGACTAAGAGGTATGAACTATTAGGTATAAAATGAGCGGCAAGGATACATTATACAATGTGGGGAATATTTTATAATAACTATAAATGGACTATAACCTTTAAAAATAAATGAAGATACAATGCTGATCAAGAAATCATTATTTTAACAGTTACGGAGTGTCTGACCCCCCCCTGTTGAACACTCTCATGCATTTTCTGTGTGACTGTCAAACTGTCGTCACTTTGCAGAGGAGGGCACTAGGGTGGTGGGACCAGGATTTCAACTAGTCTGAGTCCAGAACCCAAGCCCTTGATGGTACCGCGCAGGCACCTTCGTAACCCCCCTTGGCTGCCAGGACGCCACGTCTCCCGGTTCCCTCCCGCCTTGCTGACCACTTCCTTTCTGCTGCTTTGGCTTTTCCTCTCCTCCCCAAATTTTGAATGTTGAGGGCTCGGGTCTGGGGCCTGGCCCTTTCCCTTCTCCATCGACATTCTCATCACATCCCTTGGCTTTAAATCCCCACTCGCAACTTGATGTCTCTAGCCCAAACCTCAAGCGTAGACTTGAGTATCCAGCCACCTGCCTGACACCTTCACTGTGGGTCCTCAGGCACCCGACGCTCCCAAGTTCAAGGAGGGCTCTGGTTGCTCTTGCCCCCCCATATCCCCACCCATCGGTTCCCACCACCCAGGCTGCCCGTGGCAGGAAGAGGAATCACCAGTTACCTGCTGGCTCCAGCTCCCAACACAGGAGTCTTCCTTTTCCTTCACCCCTACATCTAACCCATCAACAAGTCCTACCAGTTCTGCCTCGAAAATGCAACTCAGGTATCCCCCTCTCTCCACCCTCAGACCGGCCGTTCCCCGCGGTCACACAGACCGAAGTTCCTGACCTTGCCTCCACACGGCACTGCCTCCCGTTCCGTGCCCCACATTCCTCCAGGGTGATCTTGTAGCAACCTCCCTCTGATCCTTTCATCCCCCCGCTTGCCGTCCTTCAACAGCTTTTCAGTGCTTTTAGGAAGAGATCCTGACCTGCTCACCAGGGCGCTGGCTCGTCTGGCCTCGCCTCGGCCACGTGATTCTTCCTCTCTAGGCTGCATGCCCTGCGACCCTGCCATTTCTCTAACCTCAGGGCTCACGTGGCCCACAGGCCTGTCCACGTGTGTCCTACGCCTGCCACGTGCTCAGGCCTCCTCCGGTCCTGGCTGGGGAGGACCTCGGTTCCCAGTTCTCCCAGAGCCTACACTGCTGCTCTGGGGTACTCGGCACCGTGGAATTAAGTGCTTCTGCCGTTGTTATGTTTCACATCTGTAAACTCCATGAAGGCAGAGCCCGTGTCCGTCTGCTGACCCCTGAGCTCCAGAGCCTCGCCCTGATGACGCACATGAACAGGTGCTCACAGGTGCGTGCTCCATAGCTGAGTGCCTTCCCGGGGCAGGGGCTGGGGCTCTGGGCCCACACTGGTTGGGTCTGGATTCTGGTTTCTCCACTTACTAGTCATGTAACCTTAGGCAGGTGACATGAGAGCTGTGTCTTGGTTTTTCCATCTGTAAAATGGGGTGATTAAAGGGTATTTATGCCTTATATGGCTATCACAAGGACTAAACAAGTTAAGACACATAAAGTCCTAGGATCAGGTCTGACACACGCACGGTGCTTGGTAAAGGTCAGCTACCTGCAGGTTGTAGACCGTGAATCAAAACCTCCCAGGGCAGCAGAAGGGGCAGGTCTGGTGGGGCTGACCCACAGAGACTGGCACCGTGTCAGGTCAGGCTTGACCCCTGGGTACCACATGTTCCCTCCTGCAAGCACTCCCTGTGCAGTCACCCTCACACCACCTGTCTGGGAGCTGTCTTCACCTTGTCATGGTGGCCGCGCCACAGGATTACCCTTCAACCCTGCCGATGCAGCCTCCCGGTGGCTGGGAGGAACCTAGCAGGGGGAAGGGCAAACGGGACAGGCCGGCCAGGGCCAAGGAATTTGTGAGAGTATCACAGCTTTACATTCCCAGCAGAAATCAGAAAATCTGATCTTGCACATCTAAGAATAGCCGTTGCTTTCGACGGTGAGAGATGCCAAAGTGAAAGCTATAATTATTAGTAAGTAACAAGCAGAAATTATCCACCTACTGCACAGTCATTTTTAGCTGCCATCCCAGAAGTGGAAATTGAAGGATGGACACCAAGAAGCTGCTTGGCTTGGGAAAGGCCCTGGTTCAACTCTGAATGACTGTGAATGTATGAATTTCCAAAGGCCAGTGATAAGGTGTGCATTCTAAGGAAAACGATGTATGACTCCCAGGGAGATATGTCTCAAGGTGCAACAAACATCAAAGGCTCTAATTCAGCTCACCTGACTCCTGCCCAGTGAGACCACAGAGCTGCTGGTTTCTATTTGGCCTGGGTTTCCCTTCTGCATAACAGAGGAAAAGAACGCTTTGGACCTTCTTTGTAAGATGGTGTTTATACAAATGGCACTAGAAGATACTTGGAAATCCAGGAAAAGAGACCATAAAAATGGGTAGTTTCTTTCTAAATATCATGTGATACCCAGAGCTGATACCCAATCTTTTGATACCCAAAAGATTGATAAATGTAAAAAATTTGGCAAAAAACCCCCAACAAAAACACAAACAAAATTAAAATGGGGGGAAATACTCAGAGCACATATGGCACAAGGCCAATTTCTTTGACACATAATAAGTGCTTACGACTCGAAAAGCTCGGCATCTAAGAAGATAAATGGGCAGAAGCCATGAGCAGACAACTGAAATACCATTTTCATCTATCAGATTGGCAAAGATCTTGAGGTCTGATGATTTGCTGTGTTATCAAGAATGTGAGAACATGGGCATTCTCACCTTGTTGACTGGAATGCAAACTGGCACAATTCTGTGGAAGGCAACGTGACAAAAGTTACCAAAATTAAAGAGTACGCACCCTTTGATCCGTCAATTCCACTTTGAGGAGTTTACCTTACAGGGACGGAACAATCTACAGACGGCTACTCATTGACGCATCGTCTGTAGCAGCAAAATACTAGAAATCATCTAAATGTTAGTCAGTGGGCTACTGGTTAAATTACGGTAAAATCATACAGTGGATTTGCTCTCTGACGTGCCGACGGGCAATGGTCTGCAGCGAGTGTTACACCCCGGCGGGGGTGCACACACTAACGGTGGTTGCCGTGGGGGAGTGTGACTGACACTCGGGGTGGCAGGAAGCCTCTCATTTCACATCTCTTGTGCCTTTTGAACTGTGTATCATGTGCGTGTATTATTTTTTCAAAAATAATTTAAATAAAATTGTCACATGGGTCCAAAAAAACCAAGCAACAAAACATGTACAACCCATGCCAGTTGGCCACCAGGTACCCTGTGAGGAGCCTGAGGCCCTGGGGTCAGAAGTGTCCAGGAAGGAGGAAGAGGTACAGCGGGAAGGGGTGCCCAGGGCGTGGGTCCCACCACACAGGACGGGAGGGACCCCGGATGGTCAAGCATCCCTGGACTTCCTGGGTCTGTGCTCCCCACTGGGCCTGTGGCTGATGTCCTCACAGAGCAGCCAGAGGCTCCGGTGTCCCAGTCATGATCTCTTTGCCACTCAGATGACACACAAGTGGCTCAGGGACCTGCTCATATAATAGGCTGGAAATCTGAGGTCGTCTCAGAGTGGCCTTACCTGCCAGCCTCAAATCTGGGGCCACCTCCAGCACGGGCCTCCACCACAAGCTCCCACTACACTCAGATCACCAGCAAAAACAACCAGGAGAGAAGAGACCCGCAAACGCCACAGAAACACCATGGCCTTGGGTGTGAGGTCTTGATCTAGTTTCTTCCAAAGCTTGCGGCATTTACAGAACCTGGCGGTATTGTTAGAGCTGATGATGGATGCAGATGTTACCTGGTTTCCATAAGTTGTCAAAAAATGTGAGTGACTTTTAGTTTGCCACCCAGAGCAGTAAAGCTCAAACCACCTATGGTAAAACCTTACAGTTCAGTGGAAGCTTCTTTTATGAATTCCTTCTGAGTTTACCTCTTCAAAGACCATATTGAATATACGATACCATTCTAATCTTGACTTAAAGTCAGTGCTTTGAAAGAGTCAATGTAGCACCAATCCTATAAAGATTATAATTTGCTTCATTCATTCATACTATATAAGCGGGACTTATATTCTGCCTGGAGTTTAAGGCAAGTATGATATTCCATTTCCAGAATTCAATCCCACCAACTCGTAGAATGTTAAAAGCCACACGCATTAATAGCAATGAGAGCTTTATTCTGTCCTATAGGCTATGGCAATGAGAAAGGGATGTCACACGATTGATAAAACTTCAAGGATAACTCCAAAAGGAATCTTAGCTGCCGGGTTCTTCAATGTTCTAATAAGCAGCTACAAAATTTCCTCCCGAGTCATGGTGGGTCACGTCGAGGAGCAAAGCCTGGATAACTGAGGGAGGGGCAGCAAGCCACTGGGCAAAGCGGTCCTGGGACTCAGTGACCCTCACCAAGGTCATTAGGTTTTCCGAGCCACAAGCAAGAGAATGCCTGGGAGGTCAAGGGAGCTGCTTCCAGCCTAGAAGAATCACCTTCTGCCCTTGTGGTTTCGTAGACATTGACCCTTTAAAAACTCAACTTCATGCCCATTTTGAAGGACAACTCTGCCCCTCTACTAGCCCTGCAGGTTCGGCCAGTCTCACCTGGCCTGGACGCTAAAGTGAACCCCTTCTCTTTTTGTTCTTTGCCGTCACTGCTCATGAGGATGACTGAGTAGGACAGGCACCAGGTCCTAGACTGGGGACCAGCTTTTCTTCAAGAGAGCCACAGAGGAAGGCATGACTGCTGTTCCCGGGCCCTTGAGTCAGCCTGTCTAGAACCCAGCAAGAGGCTGAACGCTGGCCAGCATCTGCACAGGAAGAACAATCAGCACGTTCGTGAATCATCCCTCTTTTGTATTTCTGCTTAGAAGAACATAATTTGTTAATTTACAGTGGTTGTTTTGGCTCAATTAAAGATGCCAACACGGGAGCGGCTGACTGAGCTCGGCTCTGGGACATGCCAAACCTAGGTAAATCCAATTGTGTTTCTTACACGAAGGTTCCAAACAAGGTTGGACATCATACAATTAGCCTTGGCAAAAAAGGGGTAAACAGATGGCCAGTGGTGGGTAATAAGCACTTCTGCAGCCAAACCTGGGCTTTTGCCGTGCACCCTGAGAGCTGAGCCTGGGAAGGCCTTGCAGGTCAAGGGGTAAAACTGGAGAAACAGAAGTTATCTTTCCTATGGAACTAGAAATATGTAAGCAAATCAGGAGCCACCATTTGCTCTGTATGGTGGGATTCCCATTGCTAAATGTCTGCAGGCTGCACAATAATGTGGCGATTCCCTAGCTATGCAGAAGCAGCCGTGTGAAACTGGGGGAGGGGCAGTCACACCTGCCTTCTGGGCTAGTTTCCAGTCCGGCAGCTGCTGGTACCTGCCTCGCTCTCTGAGGATTACCAGGAGCGCCGTCAGAAGTGGCAGCTCGGACATCCAAACGCTGTTCCCCCCGCCCCCTCGGCTTAGATAAAGACATCTGTGTCATCAGGACACCTGGCCCCTCTCCCAGGGTCTCTTAGACTTCACCACCAGGGTGTGCCAGGCACTGTGCTCACCAACCCTAGGAGACGATGCTATTGACCCACCATACGGATGAGGAAACCGAGGCTGAGAGGGGAGGCTATCACCTCCAGCCCATGCAGCTGTTGGTAAGTAGCAGAGCTGAGGCTCCACTCCAAGGCTGCAGGACTGCCAGACCTCCGTCGGGTCCGGGACACCACGCTCTGCTGTCCCCCTCAAAGAAAGTCTGGGGTGTAGATCTCTGGCCCCTGCGACAGCATAAACCCTGCGGCCCAGGCCGCAAGCTCCCTTCTGGCAGAGCGGCAGGTGGGCGTGGGGTTGAGGGGCGGAGCGGTACCTGCGTGGAGCCAGATCTGCGCCAGCGTCATCCAGGGGTGTAGCGGGCCCTGCTTGGGGGCACTGCTCTGCAGAGACGACGCCACTTCCGACAGTGCCTGCTCCACTCTGGAGGCTGCTACCGACGTGGCGTGGACAGAGCCTGCGGGAGGGTTTCGGGAAGACGGCATCAGAGGTGGAAGGACAGACCCAGAGCCAGCCACCGACCCACACAGCCAGCCGTCCCCCTCACACACAGGCACGGGTTCAAGACGTACACACACCCCTCCCTCACAATGTTTCTGAGGTTTACGGTCCTTACTGTCCATACAGTCACTATGGCCTGTCACCTTAGTTTCTGTCCGTTGCTTTAGTTCGTCTTTTAGTCAGGACAGAGCACACGCTGTGCAGATGCTCCGTCCGGGAGCTGAGTCGAGCGCAGGCTGAGTGTCGGGGCAGGAGAGGCACAGCTAGCCACGAGGCCGTGACACGCTGCTGAAACTTCGCAGACGTGAAGTACTACAAAGGGAGGTGACAAAGCACCCCCGCCTGGGCCTGAACCTAGAAACTACCTGGGGGGCAGGGGGAGGAACCACACTTGCCTCCTGGGGCAGGATTTGGCATAGATGGAGGCCATTCTCAAGACAAACCCAGCAACCGTCCGTTTCATTCCCTGGCCTTTGAGGGATCTGGAACCGTATTCTAGGACATGCCTTAAAAACTGTAGACAAAGCACAATTTGCCTGCTGTCTAAGCAGGTGTCTATCACTAAGGCTAATACTAGACTCGCCGAGGACAGGTTACGGCAAAGGGGCCCGGAGCTCAGGAGCTGCACCCGCCTCACTCTTCTGTAGAAGCTACTGTCCTGAGAACTGGGGGAGGCGGCAGGCTGAGCACATTCACCGGCCAAAGGGCTTCTATTCAGAAGTCCGATGAGTCAAATGACACACTCCTCTCCACGCTGACCCTCGGGAGGTCCTGGCGATCGGAGGCCACCTCCCCAAACAGGGGCTCTTTCCCCACTTCTTTCCAACATCCGCTCTTGGAGGAATGGTTTCAGAGCTGAGAGCGGGAGTCTCGGTTATTTCAAATTTAAAACCGGTGATATTTATATTCACTGGCAACATTCTTAACTTATAACGCATCGTAAAGCGTAATACGGAGATAAACGTTCCAGCGCCTTCAGTGGTAACTATCGACTTATCGTGAGGTTGAAAATGGTGATGATATAGAGAGATAAATGCTGACTACTCAAATAAATTTCACTCTGGGTAAAATGAGACCGTGAGCATAAAAATAATTTCTGCTGGGGCTTTGAGATGCACCAAGTTGGTCCTTTTTATGATAGAAAAATATTAATCTAGAAATGGGGAAGTATATTCTCAGTAAGGCACAAAGGGCCAGCAACTTCTTGCAGTTAAACATCAGAGATTGTCTCATTGAAGTCACAAATGACATAAGAATGCCTTCTATTTTCATGAATATTTAAGGAAGAAAGCTTCTAAAAGTTCTAAACAGTGAATAAGACGTGAAAGATTTGAAAAGAGGAAAGCACAAAGTTATTATTTTCAGACTATTCGATTGTATTTCACGAAGACAAAATCTGGAAATTAACTGATCTGAAAAAAAATTTTTTTTAAATAAAAATTCATGTATTCATTTTTAAGACTACCTGCGGCAATAGACTGGCCATCCATATTCCAACACAAAGGAAACATGGATTTTTCTAAATACACTCAAATCCTTCAGTGGGGTGGGGGTGGTGGAGGCAAAATGCAGGAGGTGGATGGGAACCAGACTGGGGATCCAGCGTCTGTGGATAATCCACACACAGCGCCCACGGGGAAAAGCGTGAGGAGGGCCTCTGGAGAAGGACCAGTGAGTCCTCCAGTGAGCGCTGCCGTGCAAGGAGGATCTCGAGGCCCAGTTCAGAGGCACTGATCGATATCATTATGATCCAGGAGAACTGATGAAGTTCAGCTAAGAACTGACCTTGCTTAGACAAAGTGTGTGGGGCTACCTAAAAAAACCCCAAACAGCAAAATGATTAAACTGCTGTTGATTTTTTGGGTCTTGTTTTGTTTTGAACCTTTTTATGGAAAAATCAATGCTTTAACTTTGATAACAATGATTTGATGTCGTTTCCCTGAGACTTTCAACAGCAACTATTAGTAAATAAATAAGGTTGTTGTTGCTACGTTCTGACATTATCAAGCCGACTCACCTCCTCACTGACTACCTTCAACAGTGGTTCTCAACTTTGACTTCGCATCAAAATCACTTAGGGATTTAAAAAAATCATATGCCGTAGCTACAGCCCAGACTGACCGAATCATGGACCCTAGGGGTGGGACCAGGCATCTGTTTGTTAATAGCCCAGGTGGTTCCAATGTGCAGCTAAGGCTGAGGCCCCTGACCTGGGGAGAGAGGAAGCAGGTGTTATTAACTGACATGTGGTCAAGAAAAGCCTGCAGGCGTCCTCTACACAGGCCAGCCAGCCTGAGCTGTCCTGCTTCCCTGCAGCCCAACAGTCTGGGGAAAGAGTACCGGGAAGATCTTGTCCTTTAGGACGGAGGTTCTCAGAAACCTCTCGGTCTCAGAATCCCTTAGGAGTCTGCAAATTTATTGAGACCCCTCAAGAGATCTTGTTTACACGGGTTATATCTATTGATATTGACCAATGAGAAGTCGAAACTGAGAAATGCTCAAAATATTTAGTTATTAATTCATTTTTCAAGAAGAACAATAATAAACTACCGCTCTAGAAAACTCCTACGCATTTTCTACCAGGTTCTCAGGCTCCTTTGCTACAAGGGCTTGTGACTTTTGGAGGTGCTAATTTTGTTTTTTTGGATTAACTGTTTGGTTCACAAATGCACTCGTCAGAACTAATGTCAAAGTCCCTTCTCTTTGTGGTATCTATATACAACTAAATTAATTAATGCTTCACATAATCATCTGTAAAATAACAGATTTTAGTTTATTATTACAATCAATGTTTCGCTGTGAATAAGGTCTGGCAAATGACGATGATGATGATGCCAGCAGTGGTGTATCGGCTTTAGTGAACGTGGCCTGTTTCAGGCCCTCTGATTTGCACTTTACATATATTATCTCACTTAATCTTTAAACAATTCTTTGAGGCAGGTAACACTGTTACCTGCATTGTTTAGATGACAAAATTGAGATTTTAGTGAGTATCTTACCCAAAGTCATACAGACAGCAGGTGGCAAAACCAGGACTCAAACACTATCCTAACTCCGAATCTAGCCTCTGAATCCAGCCCTGATGCCACCTCCACCGGGAAGGCTGCCGTGAGCCTTCTGTTTCTTCTCCCTACCACCCTCGTGTAAAAAGTTAGGCCTCGGGTCCTCAGTGCCCCATCTCCCCCTGTGGGTATGGTTATCACTGTACAGACCACACTGTTTTATGTAAAAAGTTGATGTAACTGTCTCTCCTCCGAGACTGGGTGGTTCTGGAAGACAGGAACATGCCCTCCATTGAGGTATTTTCAGGGGCTAACAATGCCAGGCCCACGCAATGTACTTGGTAAATGCTTGCAGAATGAGTGAATGATGAATCAATGAATGGAAGAATGAGTACTGTCAATACACACATCACTGTGTGAAATTTAGAAGAGTGGCCCCTCTTTGGGGAAGCACGTCTGGGTGCCCTACTGTCCTTCCCTAATGGCTCAGAGGCCAGAACCTTCCCTGTCTCAAGGGGCTTCTCAGCATGGCTGTGCTCACTTCCAACAACCCGGACTAAGAAGCACAGTGGTGCACAGCTGGATTAACACTGTACTCACCTAGGGGCTTCCCAGATCTAACATAACTAACCCGCTTAAATAGGGAGGGTAACTGAGGTCCGTCAGAAATAACTGTTTCCTTCCTAGTCGATCCGTTTTCACACACACCTCACAGGGGCAGAGAACCTTCAGGTTCTGAACTGGGGATGGATATTAGGGCATTCAGTACTCATTAATAATGGTAGGTGACTTATGATAATGGTAAAATTATTTAATAGTTAATGTCTACTCTTTCTGGCAATAGCACAGTATATCAAATTCTTCCACTGGGTTAGAATTTGGAGGAAAAAAGGGATAAACATCATTATGAATCAGAATGGATATATATCTGATTACAAATAATCAAAACAACCTGTAACTTAACTGTTTCATAGGATTGAAAATGGTAAGTGGCAAAACAGATTTTGATTTCTGTTGGTAACACCTAGAAATGCTAGTTCTAACCCGCCTATCTTCACAGCAACCCCTTTCTCACCAAAGCAAATGTCCTCCTACAGCGTGCATGGGGGTTAAGAGGATTATTCCCCTAAGGGAAATGGACAAATTGAGGCTTGAGAAAGGAATTAGAGGGAGGAAGAGAAGACATATTTCTAATTTGAAATCCAAGACTCTGGAGAAACAAGCTTCCACATAATCAGGTTCGACAGGTAAGCCAGCAGATGTGTCTGGCCACTGTACACCTCTTATTTATCACGTTAATTTGAGAAGCGCTTATCCCTGTCGTAACCCTGAGAGCCGAGCAGCCACCAGGTCCCTCAGTCACAGGGCACAGTGGCTCTGAAAAGCTACTGCAAAACCAACTGAACCGACAGCTGACACAGGCAGGTGAGAGCACGCCCTAACATCTGGCCTAGGTTCTGTAACCTGACTGTCCCAGTGGTCCAGGGGGCATAAGATGCCCCGGAGCTGAGGAGACCTGAATTTCCTCCCAGCTAGAGGCCCAAGAGGAAATGTTATCTCGGACACCTGATACATAGGCAAAATGCCACTTGAAGAACTGTTGTGATCCCTACATCTGGGGTCTTTATCTGAGTCCCCCCTCCCCCCCGGACCACTGTCTGGGTGGGGTGGGGGACAGGGGCAGCGAAAGAGAGGCCCCAGGAGCTGCAGTGGAGAGTCATCTCCCCATGGGCTGAGGGGCCAGGAACCCAGGCCCCTGACCTCAGGAAGCTGAGTCCAAGCTCAGCTTGGAGGATGTCTGCCCCACATTCCTATCATTTGCTGAAGCCTGTGGAGAAACCCTGCCACAAGTAGGATGCTGGGCACAGCCAGGTCAACTTGCCGTTGCAGTTGAAGCCTTCCCAAAAATCCTTTTCCAAAGCACACTACACCCGCGGTCAATTTCACACAGACCTCAAATGTGGCAATCACACGTGGACCCTATTTCAATATCTAAGGCTCATCATTCAAAGGGATCTCAGAGCCAATAATTCTGTGAAGCAAAGGGCTCAATAAATTATGTGGCCTAGTTACGTTCCATCACCTGTATTTTCACAAGCAGGGTCACTGAGTGCATGGCATGTATTTATATTCTAGCTACCCTTTTGGCTGTTCTGGTCGCATTATGTAAGCTGCTATGGTCTGAAGGATGTCCACCTTCCCTGTCCCCTCATATCTTCACAGCATGTAGAAGATGAACAGGTCTCAGATGCAGCCCTGCTGCCTGCTGACTTGGTGAGCAACACGGTTCAGGAACAACAGACAGCTATGTTACTTGATGTGCGAAAAGAATCCTCTACCAAAGAGACATCAGGAGGCACATCTCACAGGTGTTTGCTCAGGATTCAGGCTGCTCTTTGCTTCCCGGCCCTGGAGAGTTAACTCGGATGCCTCCTATGCATGAACGTGAGACAACGTAGAGCACGTGGCCGCGCCCCAAGTTCCATCTCTCTGCTTGTCACCCACATTCTTTCTGCCTGATGCCGCCGCAGCAGATACTTGCCCTCCCCACGTTTTTCTGAAAAGAAACCAAGTGTGCAGAAACTACCCACCGCTAATAAATCTCTGTACTTATTTTCCCTCAGTCCTGAAGTGATTCCATCGTATCTGTCAGTAGAGTTTATTCAGCTTCCGGTTCTTAGAAGCTGTGCCCCCCAAAACAATGAAAGAATTAAAGAAAAGAAGGCGCCCCTCCCCCCCTTAAAGACCCTGCAAACTGAACAACGATCTGAGTGACTAAGCATTCTGCCCCAGAGCTTTGCTTAAAACTCTTCGTTTTTAACAGGAAAAGGATGCCTGTTTCTCAAGATAGGGCTTGCGCATAAATCAGTGCAACACTGCGGACTGCTGGCAGCCCAGTGACCTCACACCTGGCCCCTGTGCTCTAAGAACCCGAACGTCCTTGGACCCGAGGAGACAGTGCTGACTGTCTCTTCTTTTCTGAGGCGGGAGGAGAGATGCGAGCGTCTGCTCTCACTTCAGCACTCAAATTAGGCATATTTTTCTCTGTACCTTAAAAACATGAGCCATTTTCCTCCACTCCCCACCCTGCCAACCCCGGGCGAGGACAATTCCTATCTTTGCTGGAGGCGGTCCTGCCTCTCAAGGAGGCTGATCTGGGGGTGGCGGGCTCTTCACAGCACGCTGTCAGAGATCCCCCTTCCACATTCTGATCCCTCGAGGGCTGCCCCCTGCCCTCTGCACAGCATGTCCACCCACGTGATGGGGCCACTGCTGGGTCTATCCAACTCCCACCGACTATGGGGTCTCTTGGTTGTGGGTCCCGCTGACAAATAGCTCTGGGGGTCATTCTAGTAGATACTTTCCTTTGTTCACTGAGTGAAAAAGGAGGTTAAGATAGCCAAGGAAATCTGGACAGCCAACCCACGGTCCCAAGACGAGATCACAATTTCCAAATGACTTTAACAGAACATCAAGCACAGCTGAAACCTGACGGGATGTGCCTTCTCTTGAAAGGGGAACGTCCTTTCCAGGGAAAGCTTTAGGGAAGGATCCCCCGAAGGCAGGGGTACGTGGTCACCAGCGGGCATGCGGGGCTGGCCTGCGTGCTGCTGCTGGGGGCTGGCGGAGCTAAGCGGCGCACATGCAGGGAGGGGCCCGCCGTGAGGGTGAGCCGGGAGACAGCACCTTCCGGAGGACTGCACAGGGCAGAGGCTACCCACCTCCTCAAACCCTCCCCCGTGCACAGCCATGAGGCCGTGTCTCTGGAATGAAGTGTCCTTCCGCTTGGGAAAGGCTTTTGTCTCTGATGCAGCTGATGGGAGAAGCCTCCCTGGCTCAGGCCGTAGTCTAATTGCTGGTCACACACTCAACTTCTCCCCGAGTGCCATTTATTATTGACCTGTCCATCTCCTAAAATTCCAACCGACCTTGTTTAAAGAAAGACACCCCAGAACTACTTCAGGAGAATTAATTTTAATTTAATTAAAATGGCAAGAAAACGTTTATACTTGAATCATCAGGGCTGAATGTTTTAAACTGCCACTCCTCGAAAGCAGTGGGGTCATCACTAGAGCGATTTTTTGGTCACATATAGGTGACAAAGATGACTTTATTCTATTAAGCAGTAGCAGAGGGTGAAATTCACCACCTGACTAGTCACTTCCTGATCGTGACAGATGTTTCTGAATGTTAGAAAAATGCGAAGTCAATAATACAACGCCAGCCACCGTGGAAGGAGACAAAACGACTACCTTGGCTTTCTGTCTCACCTGAGCTCGTTTGAGAGGTGTGTTTTCTCGTTAATGTCTATTCTCTTGTCCTGCTTCCTAAAGAGAGCCGCGGTGTCGCCAGAATCGGTGAAATGAAGAATGAAGCTGAGCACCCAGTCAGCACGTTCTTGGAGAGAAGAATAAAACCTCAACCCGCACTTCTCTCCAGAAGGATGACTGCTGGGGCGCTCGCTGCTGGGGGCGCCTGGGATCCTCAGGTTTCAGGAGTGAGGGCAGCGCGGGGGGCGGGGGAGGGGGTCCTGGCGGCTGCGTTCCAGTCCGGCTCTCCCCACCTGGCCGGTCACTGCCCTCTGGAGGCCACAGAGTCCAGGCTGCAACTTGGGGAGAAAGGCACCTGGCCGAGGCTTGAAATCAGGATCAGCTACCGGCAAACCCCAAAGGTGTGTGTGAACAGAATAATTAGTCGACTAAGACCTTTACAGATGAGGATGCTGAGGCCGGGAAGGTTAAATGAGTTGCCTGGATTCCTCTGCAGCACTGGCCCCCGAACCCAGGTTTCCTGACCCTCGAGAGACTTGGTGCTGTTTTTATGGAAGTAGTTAAGTCCCTTGTATAAATATGTCAAGCCTCCCTTTAACATATTTAAAGGGAATTGCTTAGTCTGCTTTAAATTCTGGTAGAAGTAGTTTAAGTTTTATGATGTCTGATTAGCTTATTTTAGGAAAACGAATTATTAGAATTGTTTTCTATGAGCAATAGTGGTTGAACTGGAAAGGAATTTTAAGATTCAACTAGTTCCCTCTACCCCAGATTTACAGATGAGCCACACTGGGGAGGCTGGACGTCTCACACGTTTGATCAGCCCCCGTGGGGTTGCTGACCAAGCCACTGCACGCCCCCACTTGGCCATTCTTCCTGCAATGCCTTCTTCTGTAGTCCTTCCCAGACAAGTGCTGCCTCCTCAGTGTTTACACCCGAGCTGCAGAAAGCATGAGAGGGCCTGGGAGGGCTGGTCCCCAGCGGGAGGGGTGAGCAAGCTTCAGGTCCAAGCCATCTCAACATTCCTGATCAACGGCCACAACACACACTGCATGGTGGGGTCAGCGTGATTCTGGAGACCCTCAGAAAAGTTAACAGATCGGTAAACTACTTACTAACTGAAAAAAGGGAGGGAAAACCATGAAAGTATACTTCTGGAGAGTTGCCTTGGAACAACAAATCAAACCAAAAATTAAAACCAAGAAACAAACATTTGAAAAATCAAAATTAAGGCTAAAAAAGCAAATGGAGTTCTAATAACCTTCCAACCGTAAGTCTGGCTGTCTGGAATCAGATTTCAATTCAACAGTGACATATGTTTTTCCACTAACAATGATTTTTTCTTTTTTTTTTTAAAGCAAAGAAAGGCCAACTGGGCATTCCCCTCCGCGTTTAAATGTTCACTCAGCACATGAAAGCTGACCAATTCATGTAATGTGTTTTGTTTCCAGGGCAGGAAATTCCAAAGGGAAGGGAAAAATAATCAAACGAGCAGTTTTCAGATCTTTCCACACGTTAACCCTAATCATGATTCCAACCGTTTGTAGGGCTGGGCTAGCTTTCAATCCTGTGAAGTTAAGGACTGGAGGGAGAAATTCATAAAACTTCAGGTCTTGGCTATCTGTCCTAAGGGAAAGAGTTGGGATTCAAATTCATTATAATTTTAATCAAGAAATTCTACATTTACTAGCAATGTATGTTATGTTTTCCCTTCTCTAACTAAATGTTGGATTTATGGGGTGGGGGGAGGGGAACAGTCTTACTTAAAACACCTGGTTACTGGCTATGCACTCCCTAAGGATGGAAGATGACTCAGAGCTTCACAGAGAATAAACAACTGAGGACTGCTTGGTACGTATTACGTTCAGCAGAAAGCCCAGTGGGTGCTCATCGCCCTAACAATTTGCTAATTAATCTGATATAAGGTGCCCCACCAGAAGAGTCTGGACTTCAATCTTCAGAGGTTTAAAGGGACACAGGGCTCCTTGGGATGCAACAAGATAACTACTGGCAGGGTGTGGAGGTAGGTGGGTTCATTGTGCAAACGAGAAAGGATGGGGCAGTGGGAACATCTAACATTATTCTAGAACAGTAAGATCCCATTTTAAGACCCCAGAAAACTGGGCAAAAGTCAGTGTAATAAACAATTTTTTCTGGAAAAACCAAAGCAGGAAAAAAAAAAAGTTGGCAATTGCCCGTAGGCATCATATTAAAGGGAAAATATCTATTTTAAGAAGTGGATTAAAAACGATATAAGCAGTTTGTAAATTTTATCTTCATATTCCATTTCATAAAACTGGGATTGCCGTTGAGGCTGAGTTCAGAACACTTAATATGCAGATAAGTAAAGTCAGAGTGTTTCTTGGTTTGAATTATTTATTTTAGATCATAGTCTCCTTTCTGCCAGACTCTGTGTGTGTGTGTGTGTGTGTGTGTGTGTGTGTGTGTGTGTGTGTGTGTGTGTGTGTGTGTGTGTAACACAGCAGGTTACCATCAGAAAGATAAGTGCATTAGGGAAAGTAGTTCTTTCTGGCAGCAGCTCCCCTTATGAGCTTTTGTTTAGCATATAACTGAGTGTTTGGAACAAAGATGAGCCCTTTTAAATCATGGACACAGAGATTAAATTTTCTGCCCGTGTTGCGGGTAAAGTGAACATTAAATAAATGAGTGGAAGAACAAGGGTGGCTCTCCTGGTGAGAGCCATATTTAGGTGCCATTTAAGGGCTTTATCAACAAGTGTCTCATTTCAATACAGGGATCTTTTTTTTTTTTTTTCCATTGACAAGTCCCTAAACGCCCTAAAACAGACTTTCAAATTTCCCTATTATTTAAAATCAAGATTAGATTAAAATACTGTTCAATTTCCCTGCATAGTTTCATGACACAAGCCCTACGTTTTCCTTCCTTGCAAACAGAAAACAATTTATAGCATTGTTTTTCAAAATGTAGTACACAGCCCACTGGCATCGGGATCCTAAGGAGGTATTTTATAAATCCAGATTCTGGGGCCCCACCTCAGGCCTCCTGAATCATAAACTCCGGGGGTAGGGCCCAGAGAATCTGCAGCGTTCAAAGCTCTCTGGGTGATTTTAACGCACAGTAAGGTTTGAGAACCACATACTTAAAAGGCATATGACTGATATCTTTAGAATACTACCTTGATTACTATATACTTGGTGAATTAATTTCTAAACTGAAAACCAGAAATGATTAGGAGTAAATTATTATTTGCAAAATGTTCTAATTTGTCTTTTTAAAAAATGAGATCTGTATGAATTTATATCCACTCCAGGAAAGCGGAAAGCACAGAAGTCCCCAAGAACTGGAAGCGATGCTCCAGAGAAGCTTCTATTGATTCTGCTCTAAACAGATTTCCTTTACTTTTTAAAAGGGAGGTTGGAACTTGGGCACCAACGTCTCCTTCTGCCCGCACAGTTTTTGGATTTTCAAACTAGCAAGATTTTCTCTCAGGTAAATTTGATGGAGTTTCCGATCCAGCTTAGCAGTTAGGAAGATTATCAGAAAATAAAACATCAGGCAAATGAAGCAGATCTAACAAGAAAGGAAAAAACCATAAACCATGTTTACACAGAGAGGGTTCCTGGCGGGGACCTGGGTCACTGACTGAATGAGCTGCCGGGGGCCACACAAAGGTATCGGGTTTGGGATGAGAATGAAGATGAGAAGATACAAACAGGTGGAGAGGAGATTCGGTTCTTGAAAGAGAAGAGGAGGAGGAGGAATCTGACACTAAAAACATGAAAGAGAGAGAAACAAAAAAGGATAAAGGCAAAAAAACTTTAGAAACACAAAGAAAAAAATAAACTGGCTTTTAATATACTCACATAAGCTGCAAAGAAAATGAGGTCATGTAATACACAATCATTCCTCTACTTGACAAGAGAATACAAGTGCTTTTCGAAGAAAACAAATTTGCTGTTTTTTCCACTGGTTATTTAATTGTTCTGCAACACCACCACGGCATAAAAACATCTCAGATTTACCTGGGCACAGATTCAGCAGTATGATCCATTGAAAATGATACCTCTTTAACCTAGAATACCCAGGACATTCTGGAGGAAAAGAAACTATCTGCTTTTCAATTGGAAAGGATTAGAACTTGACTTTTCCTTGATTTGTTTTTTGAGAAGCACTTATATAAAGTTTACTTGAAAACTAAGGTCTTTCTAGGTGCAGATAACTGAGGTGCAACAATGGGTCAGGTCCCTGAATCGTGACAATGGAGTCTAAGCTTGCTAAGCTGGTCTACGGTTGGGTCCACTGGCCGGGCACTTTGAAAAGGAAGCTATTACTGTCACTTCCATGCCTTCAGCTGGAGAGATACACAGCAGTAGGGAGAACCACTGCAGTGACAAATTAAAATTTTTCCCAGACAAAATGGATCAAACTTTCAAGGCGAAAGAATCATTACTACGGATCGGTGTCTGGTAATATCTACCAATGATCAAAGATAAATCTCCTTACTCCACTTCCTGTTTTGAAGGCAAAAGGAAGGAAAAGAATTCTTTTTCCTCCTCTATTTAAGGAACTAACTTATTCCGAAGAAAAGACAATGATTCAAAGCTTCAAAGTTAAGTGACTGTCCCTCCATCTGATTCCTCTCTCTTGAAGGCTAGGACCTATTGATGACAGAGGTGGGGGGAAGGGGACCCAGAGGCGATATTAGAAGGGAAAGCATATTCCTTAAGGGTTTTTTTTTCAGTCTGCCACATCCATTTAATAAAACCACAGTGGACTCAGCTATAGTCCAAAGCTTGTAGACATGGGTTCCCCTTATGTTATTACACAGATCTGCATATGGACAATTTCAGAGGTGGAAAACCATACCCCAGTTAATTATTCACCTTCCAAAATCAAGAACACTGAGCCTGTACTTCATAATGACCCAGATGTATAATAATGGGATCTCGGTTATATTTTTATAACCGAGCTCTCATCTGTTTGACATATACGCTGAAATTTTAACAGGCAAAATACGATGTCTGAGATCTGCCTCAAAATAGTCTACAAAAACTAAGTGTGGGACAGCAGAGATACAGGAAAAAAGAATAGGAATTGTTGAAGGCTGGTGGTAGGTACATGGGGATTCATTATACGAGTATTTCTATTTTGGTATACTTGAAATTTTTCCACAGTAGAAAATTTTTTTAAAAAAGGAAATAAATTTTAGTTCTGGAAGACAAAAACAGCCATCCAAGAGGGCCTGTGGCTTCGCAGAGGCGCCTACTGCACACGGGGTGACTCAGAACTGGCAGGAGCACAACCGTGGCAGGTCACCTCGGCCTTGGCCACACGTCTTTGCCGGCTGTGCTCTTGTCGGATGCATTTCGAAAAGCAGAGAAGCACTGCAGAAGCCTGAGGACGTTCTCCCAAACGGGTGCAGAGGAATCCTCAGGGCATGTGTAAAGGGACACGTCACAGGGGCTGTGCAGCACGTATATGGTATGCTATTTTCGAGTCAAGGGACACGGGAAATAAGATATAATCTTATTTGTATGGGAGGGTAAACAAAAAGCTAATAAAAAATGGTTGTCTTTAGGGAAAGGCAAGATGGAAGGGCAGGGATGGAAGCAAAACACCTCTATGGAACCTTTGGAATCAAGTTTGGACCAAATCTGTGGGTCGCTCACGAGACAGGCAGTCCCCACTGATGCACTAATAAGAACCGCTGCCCTCCTGCGACCACCAATGGGCTGAACTATCTAAAACTGGGCTTTACTAATCAAGATGGAGGCATCTTTTCCATTTATAGGTGAGTCTTCATAATTTTTAAGTCTCTCTGATTTAAATGATCACTTCAGAATGTTTTACCATCATTTATAATCAGTCTGCAACTGATAAGGCCTGCTAACATGGCCTTCCGTTTCTCTGATTCCTGGCCTCCTGGGTAAGTAACTGGTGGTGGTGGTGTGAAAAGCAACGATTTGGGGCTGTGGGGGCAGGGCCAGTGAGAGGAGTCTTGGAGGGCGTCGTGTGGACATACAACCACACCAACACAATAAACTGGTCACTGGCCAGCGCCTGAGGGAGAGCAGTGTCCACTACGGACAAGTGGCAGCGACCCCTGACTCTGCCACGGAGACACACCTCGGCTGGAAGCTACAGCACCTGATGTTTAACCTGAAGTGGGAGCCTCCTGGAGGCTCCGGGGAAGAGGTCCCAAGGGGCAAAGGGGAGAATGAATCCCAAGGGCCTCCCTCATTTTCTCCCACTGTCTGTTTTTAATGTGATGTGGATGAAAGTCTCAGACCTCAGGGGAGATTAAGGTCCCGATCAGCTGGTGGGGAAGGGGGTCTGAATTTAGTATGAGTGTCCTCGCAGGGTCCTGTGGGTCGGGGAGAAGGGGAAGCTGGCCCTGGGCAGCCACAGCAGCTGTGAACCAGCTGTAGTGACTGTTACCTCCCTCTCTTCTCTCCCCGGGGTCCGAGCCTCACCTCTCAGTGGCTAAGTCCTGACAGCCTGACCTTCCCTCTCCTGCAGCGAGGGGGGCTACACACGTCCCTCTAGCAGGTCTGGACCACAAGCAGAACTCTGCTGTACCATCCCAGGTCAGAGTCTGCCTGGTGCGCCGTCTAAGCCCACCAATGACTGCCCCTCCACCCAGGGGCCAGGCTACTCCAGGGGCGAGTTTCTCTGTGGCCTAGCTGGCCTGCATTTTGAGCAGTGGCTGCAAGCCCTGTTAAACTGCACTAATTTATAATTCATGCTGCTTCCGATGCCCAACACTCTTTTGACCTAGGAGCCCCAAGGCCCTGGGATCAGGCTTCTTCAGCCGACTTTAAATTTGGTAAAAGGGAGACTAGCACAGGAAGGCAGGCAGCTGTGAGGACGGGCTTGGGTGAGTACCACACCCGGCTCCCATTGCCACCTGGGGAGAGATTTTCCAAGGACGGCTGTGCACGCCTCGGGGCTGCTCTCTGGCTCTTTGGAGGGGCTTGGGTCAGGAGCCGGGACCTGGCACAGTGCAGGAGAAAGACCCGGAGGCTCCTTTCATGAAATCAACCCACAGAAGACCAGGCGTACCCAGACAGCGATTCAGCCTGACCCAGGGCCCTCTGGGGTGGCAGGAGAAGCACCAAAACCAGCTTCCAAAGGATGCTCTGGAACTATCCCTGAGGCTCAAAGCGCCGTGGATTTCTTTACATTTTGTGGGTCTGTCGAGTCCTCCGAATTGCCACTGAAAAGTCAGTATTGCTACTAAAGTTACTTGTTTGGAGATTACAGAGGTCTCTTTACCCCTCTGTACCTAGGCAACTGTGGAAACGCAAATGATAACTGAGGTGTAAATATCTGCTCCGAGGCAGTAAGTGCTACAAGCTTCCTCGTGGGGTCAGTAGATTCAGAAGCTCTGAACCCACCTGCCTCTCCCTGCAGGGTTTCCTGTGGGGTTGTGTGAGTTCATATGTGCAACTGATTAGAAACCGAAAGCTTGATTTTAGCAAGGTCTGAAATCTAAAGAAAGAGAAAGAAACAGAAAAGCAGAGGGGAAGCTTGATGGGGATGGGAACAGTCTAATTTTAGTTTCGAATTTTCGGCTCCAAGAGCAAGGGGAAAAATAGATTTCAAAGAGCTGCGTTGGGCAAGTAATATTACTTCCCCCACCGTGAACAAACACTTGAGAAAAGACACCGGAGAAAACGCACCTCAGGCGACAGTGTAGCCTATTTGGGTGAGGACTTCTTCCCGCCCCAGGCCCTGGTGGTCTTCGTCCCGCGCGGCTTGGGGCCAGGCCCCACGTCCCTTCCGGTTGACACCATTTCGGCCCCTCTGGCTTTTTATTCTCACCTGTCTCGGGATCGCTGAAGTCTGGCAAAGTAATTGTATTAAGCTGTCGTCTGTCAGCAATGGTTCTATCTAAGAGGCTGCTCCCACGTCCAGAATCACTGCAAAACACAGCTACAAATGTCAGTCATTTGAAGGGTGGGCAGGGGAAGGCAACAGAGTCAACCAATCCCGACTCCTGAAACGCAGCAAAACCTTCTGTGCATTTTTGGAGCTTCTTCAGCACCTTTCCACTCATCACCGGGCATCCTGCTTCCCTGCCCGGCCTGGTCTGGGATTCCTTTCAGGATCCGTATCACAAACACGCTTTAAACCGCACCCAGAGACCCGAGCTAATTTTCGTCTCTTTTGTGTCACTGTAAGACACAAAAATGAGAACTTCGAGCCACGTTCTCCAGCCACCGTGTGGGGGAAGCTGATGAGCATTCTGTGCTGCTAAGTGTCAGGCTCAAGCCCATGAACACATCATCCTCGAGCTGTCTTTAGGAACCAACGCCCTACACCAGTGCCTCTAAGCCCTGGCTGCACAGAAGAATCACCCGGGCATCTCGAAAAGCCACGGATGCCTGGGTCCTGCCCCAGACCCAATAAATCAGAATTTCTGGTTTTCAAAGCTCCCCAGATGGTTCTCATGCATAACCAAATTCAAGAACCACTGGCCCTGCCTTTTCAAGGGGTGACACAGCCACGGCCTCGTTTGTGTCCTAAGAACAAGCCTTTAAGATAAATGGCGTGGTTGATACCTCTATTCAATAGACAAGAGAGAGGAGGTGTGAGGCCCTACACTGAGCTGGGTGCTGGCAGAGTGGCAGCTACAGCCCCCTTCCGGTGTTCCCGAGCTGGGAAGGCTGGGCCTTGGAGAGAACACAGTCGCGTTTTGGCAGCAGCCTCCAGGCCGGTGGTTCTCGTTAGCTTCCGGCACTGAAGCCCCCTCTCCAGGCTGCTCCTGCGTATAGTAACGGGATCAGCCCCACTCCTTGGGCGAGTCACGTGGGAGACCACATCGGGACTAACGGGAATGGAACACCGTTAAGGGCGCTCAGCTCAGAAAGACTTTTTTTTTTTTTAATTCTAAGAAACTTGTAAGTAAAAACAATTAAACAATTGCATTCTTTTTTCCTCTATCATGGTATTCTATCAAAAGATGTATATCTGTCTCTTGAGGTTTGAGCCTTTAATGCTTTTCTTTGAATCCATTTCTTTTCCCCCACCTGGGGGCTCTACAAATGATTTTTTTCGTTAAGAAGTTCAAATTCCACAGTAAAGGGACACAATTTCCTTCCTCTATGCAGCTGTTGCTAAAAGTGGTACAAACAAGATTTGCTATGAAACTTAATATGGTTTGCAGGCTGCAATTTCCACGTCCAGTGATGTAGTTAGAGAAATCCACAGGAAACAGAAGGAAACTTGCTTCAGTACAGACTGGTTTGTCAGCCTATACTTATGACATCACTGGATACATGCTTTTTGGAATCTGTTCTATTAATTATTTCCATGACTGAGAAACAATAAATGTCTCTGAGCAGAAGACAGCATAAAAGTACATGCAAATTTGCATTAATCACATTAGCAACTGAATATTTCTAGCACTGATCTATTCATGCATGTATTTTTAATATAAATATTACAAAAAATACTACAAAAATATTACAAAGAGTTAATTATCTGAATGTTGCAATGGCTCCCCACTTAGGAGTTTTTTGGAAGATCTTATCTCAAAATATAGTGAAGTTTTTCATCACCTTGGGGATTCCAGGACGCACAATGAGGTCTTGGAATTGCCAAGGAAGGATCTGCCTGGGTTTTCAGTGGACCAAATCACAGTAAGTGGATGGGAGATGTCTGGTTCAGCCACAATCCTCCAGGCTTCTCATTTCACCAAGTATCAGAGCACAGGGTTGGCTGCTGCATGTCATGCTGGGTCCTGGAACCCAACCAGGAGTCTGGGTTCTTATCCCACATCTGTCACTAATGGTAGGTCACTTTGAGCAAGGCCCCTTTCTCTGTGCCTCAGTGACTTCCCTGTCAGGTGAGGTGGCCTCTTCTTCCCATACAGAAGTGTGTCAGGCTGAACTGAGGTCACGGAGACAGAACATTCAGAAGAATTATAACCTCTGGACACATGCCAGGTGTCCTTATAAACACCATGCCTCCAAATACGCATCAGGGGTTAACAAGGCTGGCCGACTTTTGGAGACAACTTATTCCCAGCTGTCTGGTGCAACGGTAGGTGTGGAGAAGCTGAGTTAAGGACCTCCTACTCCAGATGTTATAAACCCCAACTAAAACGAAGATCTTAACTTATGAACCTCAGCCAATGATAGGGACACAGGACCTATTTCCCTTCCACCAGCTGAGAAACAATATTTGGTTACATTCCTTTGTTTATCTCCATAGTATCTGTTTATCTCCATAGTATCTGTTTATCTCCATAGTATCTGTTGCTTATATAGCAACAAATAACTGTTCACAATGGAGATGCCTTCATTTCCACTCTGACTGTTGTGACTGACTGAGAATTTTGGTGGATGCTTCAAGCAGGTTTTAGTTCTTTGTTTATATGGTGCAGAATTTGTCTTTGCCATGATCCACAGGATATGGAAGGACGGGCAGAGGGAGGCCTGGCCTCGCTCTCTCATTCTGGCCAGCGTGTCTCGGGCAAGCCTTCCTCTCTCCCTCTGGGACACATCTACTTGGGCACTCCGTGGACCACCTCCCCCCTACAGCTCAGTCACCTCACCTCTTCTCTGTCCGGCCCTTAGGTGCCAGGACCACCTCCGAAGGAGGATGACAGGAAGGAAAGGAAAACCATTACTGGTCAGTGGTGTTAGTAGAGGGTTTAGGGAAAGGAAACTGGAAGGAGCCCCAAATCCACCGCACATAAGCTGAAGAGACCCACATATGTAGATGTACACATCCAGGTAATTTCTATTCCCTTAAAGAAGGACTGAAAATCCAGAGTAGACTGTACTGATGGTTAAGTTATCCTAGAAACTGGAAGCTTCTCTTGGAAATCCTCTAACACAGCTACACAGAGATTAAACACAAGAGGCAAGCTGATGGTGGACTGGGAGCCAGAACCCTGGGGTCCTTGTCACAGCCTTGTCCTTTCCCAGCTCTGAGACACAGTGCCTGGCACACAGTAAATACTGATGTAATAGAGGGGCCTTGGATAGGAAACCAGAACATTTCCCAGGCAACTTAAGCCTGGATTACATGAATCAAGGCAAGTTCTCAACATTCCCAAACTCAATTTTCTCATCAGTAAAATGGGTCTGATGTAACAGGACATTCGCCCATTTTATGGGGCTACTGTGAAGATGAATGAGAGCACACTTTGTAAAAAGAAAAGCTCCACCGAAAGATGGATGACTACTAGCGTGAAATGGGGTTTCCGGGGCTTCCCTGGTGGCGCAGTGGTTGAGGGTCCGCCTGCCGATGCAGGGGACGCGGGTTCGTGCCCCGGTCCGGGAGGATCCCACATGCCGCGGAGCGGCTGGGCCCGTGAGACATGGCCGCTGAGCCTGCGCATCCGGAGCCTGTGCTCCGCAATGGGAGAGGACACAGCAGTGAGAGGCACGCATACCACAAAAAAAAAAAAAAAAAGGGGTTTCCAATTTCCAACTGAGGTTAGAGCAAATAAATTCTTTTTAAAAAATGTTTATATGCTATTCGTTAATGTGATTGAAATGGGACTTGGGAAGAAAAACTTTTCTTCCGATCATATGGCTACATGATGGAGATGGTCTAAGTGGCAGTGACAAGAGGGGGAAGAAGTAGTTAATAATAAAAAATAAAAATAAAGGAAAAAAAGCTGGTTGTCAATTCAGAGAGGCAGCATGGGTGATGGAGAGAGCTTTGATGTTCGGCAGACCTGGGTTTGAATAATAGCTCTACTAGTTGTTTAATTGAGAAAACTAGGGCAAGTTCTTTAATAAAAGTGAAGTGTAGCTTCACTTTTATTTTCTATGAAGTGGAAAGAACAGTAGCTTTCTTGCAAGGCTGAGGCAGGGGTTGAGGAGGACGTATGTATAAACAGCTTAGCACGGTGCAGCACAGAGAAGGTACAGCATCCCTTGCTGAAGCGCTGGACCGTCTGGCGAGGCTCTGGCCAGAGGTCACACTGTCTTAAGTGGCCAAGTCAACGCGCACAAGAGCTGAGGGAGCTGTGCACTTCAGCAGGAGAGAAGACGAAACGTGAGGCGGATTTCTGTCCTAAAGGCACGCAAAGCTGCAGGCCTCAACCCAGGCTTCTGAAGTGACCAACACCTTGCCAAACGTACACTCAGGACAACGCCACCCACCCTTTGCTCACGGCAGGAGAAGCGTTCTCGGCCTGCGGGGACCGCTCTTTGGCCTCAGGCTCCGTTCAGCGACCGGCCCAGAGGGTGGTGCTCCTTTAAGCAAGAGTGAAGAGGAGGGACGGGTCGCAGAGGACAGGAAGCCGGGTCTTGTCTCCGTCTGGCCCTGTTACTGCCCGTGTCTTCTTCTGCGCCCCCTTGTCCCACTGCTCTGGAGGCCTGTGCCAGCCCCTGGGTGGGGCTCTTGGGGGTGGCGAGCAGTGGGACGCCCTGGGAGGGTGAGCACAGGTCCCTCACAACTGAGCACACTTAGAAACACGGGCGCCTGAGCCCGGAAGTCAATGAGGACCTTCTCCAGCTGGAAACCAACCGGCCCCTGCCAGCATGCTTTCTGCTCAGTTTTCACGTCTTTTATGAAGCAGGGATGCTTCTCACCCACTTGTGCATACGTTTCTATCCTCTTCTAAAGCCCCGCGTGTCCCGACTTGAGGCTGCTGGGCCCAGAGCCGCCCTTATCTGGAGAACAGAGGGGTGTGCTGTCCCCGTCAAGACACTACCCTCCCCTCTTCTGCTTTATTCTACTGCCAGGGTCACGCCCTCCCCGACCGTACTGGGGAGGATGTCTAAATCTGCACACTGGTGAGGGCGACAGGAGAAACATTTATTTATATCCCAGAGAAAATAGAGTTAAAAAAACAAACAGGAAACTCCTTAATAAGGGGCTGCTGGACTGCCAGCACCCCCCCTCGAGGCTTTGGGAGTAGCTGGAGGGAGCAGTTCCGTAGAGCTGATGCGTCCTCCACCCACCCCCACCCCCACCCCCAGCCAGACTCTGCGCCCGGAGCCAAGGTCCCCCCGTGCCTGGCCCTGAAGGATCCTTCAGGGAGCTGAGCAAGTACGGACACAGCCCAGGCATTTGGTTAAGTGTTTTTAAAAAGCTTTCCAATTCTGCTATTTTTTCTTCTCCTCACATGCAATACTCTTGGTTGCTAAGTGGGAAGAAATGTGGGGAGGTGGGAGAGGTGTGGAGAACTGAGAGAAAACTGGCAACGGGAAAGCTGATGGATTTATTTTCTCACTTCTAAAGGGGGTACAGACAAAGGGATGTGCTCCACTAGGAAGCAGCCAGCTCGGGGAGTATCGCCTGTAGCTGGGCTCGCGGCAAAGACCCTCCCTCAAATCCTGCTGCGTCTGGTAGGCTGGGAGTGGGGACTTTGGGACATAAATATGGACATTTCCTATTTCTGCCTACAGACTTAGAAAAGTAGAATTTTTTAAAAAAATTAAAATGATCTTTATCTCCAGAACATACCCACAAAAGGGAAGAGGCCAGTTTCACGATTAGCTTTTCACCAAGAGGAAGATGGGCCCCATGGGCCTGGTAACGTGCCACAGGCTACGGTTAGGAAGGGGGCTCTCCTGTAATTCTTGTGGCTCGGGCTCTGCGAGGGGGGGCTCCCGGCCAGGATCCCCCATCTTCTAGCCACACCGCCCACGGGGCTTGTGGTCTCAACTCTGGCTCATGTCAGCTCATCAGGACCCATCACCTCAACAGGGCCCTGATTTTGAATATATATATTTTTTTAACGGCAGAAACTTGTCGAACAAGATCTCACACGGAACCCCACCAGCACCCTGCTGCTTCCCTAACCCCACCCCACCTTTCCTCCCACCCCGCAGCGACTCACCAGCCTGCCTGCCCGCCTCCTGCTGGGCTGGATTGGGTGGGCCACACCCTTGAACACATTTACAATTTGACTTATACATTCTTAGGCTCCTGACTCTTAAGAGCAGAATGTGGGCTGTCCATACATCTTGCTGCGAACTTGAAAAATATTCTGAGTGTTTGAGCAGTTGTTTGAATTCACCTGAATCGTGAGGTTCCTTTTCATTAAATCACTTCCTTCACAGGTCAGGGCACACTTCGTAATCTAGACACATGCCGGGAAACACTGCTCAAGACTTGAAGATGGTGCTTTTCGGGGACATGCTGGGAGTTGACTAGTGGACCTTCCCTAGATTATCTGCCTCTGCAGGGTGGGCGCCTTTGACTGACTCCTACTGGCTGGGCCCTTTCACATCTCTATGGGGCAGAGTTGGCCAGTAGAAAACCTATGAATTTTGTCTGGTCGAGATATAATCAATGTCCACTCCGTAGAAAAGATAACCCCAAACAATGTATTTCATTGTTCTAGAGAATATTATTGTTTTTATATTTATTTGCAAATTCATTTCAGCACATCTATTTTTCAAATTCTTCTTTGAATGGGTCTCAACATTTTACTGCTTCCCTCATTAGTTAATGAGGTAAGTAAAATCTTTCATATGTGCTAATCTTTTATGTTTTATATGTGCTAATCTTTTATATTTGTTTGAGTCATGATTTTAACTTTTTGAAAATTACACTTTATCATGTCAAAAGCAAGTTCTACTCTCCTTAGTAGCACGTGGCCTGTTGTCTATGCAGGTCTTTTTAAAATATTACTGTGAGAACCCCATCTGGAATATATAATTGACTAGTCTATCCATAAATCACCAGAAAGGTAAAGACTTGTCAAAGGGAATTACATAAATGGCTGGCCGAGGGAAATCAGACGGAGACCAATTGGAAGTGAGCCTAGAGGGCCACCGTGGCAACGAAAGCATAAGAAACCCACGATTTGGAGATTTCATCAGACGCTAAGAGAAAATCGGCTTAAAAATGTAATGTGTGAGGCTCCATTGCTCTTACCTGTGGCTCCCGGGGGCCTAGGGGTGCACAGGGGTGGAGAATTTGTCCTGCTAAATGCCTATCGGGGATGGACTGAGAGGCAGGGGCCATGCCAAAACCACGCACAACAGGTGCCGCCGCTGGCCTCTTACCTGGGATTGGTAAGATTGTAGCAGGATTTCCAAATCTGTAGCATGTGCTTACAGGTGAGGAGCGCCTCATCCGGGCCCCGGCACAGCGACTCCAGCTTCACTTTGGAAAACAGTAGTCTGTGGTGGGGAGATAAAGGGAGAAAAGAACACAGCTCAAGCCAGAGTCCCCACCAGGACAAAACAAAGTAGCCAGAAGCTCTGTACTCATTCTAGAAGGGGGCGTCCAAAGGCTGGATGCGAGGGAAGCAGTGGCAGGAGGGCTGAGGATTCCAGAACTCCCGGCTCAGTATCTGCCTTTGCGTAAGTCTCACCCCCAACGCCAATGCCGGCACAATGCCACCATGTGTGGTCAGGTTAAACGTATCTGGAGTGGCTAATTTCATTCAGAACACAGGGATTTTATTAAGACCGTGCTTTTTAGAAGAAAGCCAATTTATTTGCAAAACTTCAAAAATGCATCAAAAGCGAATCTTGATTTATTTACAAAATTACACAGGCGATGTAATTATCTACATAAATATCTACAAATAACCTTCCGCAATGATCCTCATCATGGGAAGGAGATGAAAGCCTGAACCGAGGGCACATAAAAAGGGGGCCTCGGGCTAAGGCCCCCTCCTCTTTGATCTTTTCCAGCCCTGCTCTGTAGGGGCTAGGACTTCACCAAGTCACCCATAGTCACCCACTACCTCTTCCCAATTTTTTTTTTTACCACCGATGGCTTCGCGTTCCGCCCAGACCTTCAGGGCACTAAGCTTAGCCCCTTCTCCCTTTCGTGGCCCCTCAGAGCTGCCCCGCCCCCTAAGTCTACTTATGTCCCTCTAGACATCAGCTCCCTTGGTCCCTGGGCTCATCACTACTGTCCCTGTGAAAGCCCCAGCATGAGCCCAGGTACCGTCCTGAAGGTCTTGCTGTCCACTCACCTGCCCGGCTCTAAGAAGTCATATAATAAAGATCTCCAAAACTCATTTTCATTCCCAGCTCAAGAAACTACAATGATTCCTTACTGACTGTAATAATAAGTCAAAATTCCTTATCGAGTCCTTTAAGACAGGGGTGCTAGTCCCCGGCCTGTTAGGAACTGGGCCGCACAGCAGGAGGTGAGCAGCGAGTGAGCAAAGCTTCATCTGCCGCCCCCCATCGCTCGCATTACAGCCTGAACCACCTGCCCTGCCTCCCACGGCCCCCCACCGGTCCGAAGAAAAATTGTCTTCCGTGAAACTGGCCCCTGGTGCCAAAAAGGCTGGGGACCACTGCTTTAAGACACTCTGCCCACCGGCCCACTCCTATGTCACCATCCCATTCAGTGCCATGGATCCCACGGGGCCCTTTACTCCTACCAACGTAATTCACTGGCCAAAGACTATGTTTTTATCATAACTCTAAGAATATATGCCATGCTCTCAATCTTTTTTTTTTTTTTTTTTGCGGTACGCAGGCCTCTCACTGTTGTGGCCTCTTCCGTTGCGGAGCACAGGCTCCTGACGCGCAGGCTCAGCGGCCATGGCTCACGGGCCCAGCCGCTCCGCGGCATGTGGGATCTTCCCGGACCGGGGCACGAACCCGTGTCCCCCGCAACGGCAGGCAGACTCTCAACCACTGCGCCACCAGGGAAGCCCATGCTCTCAATCTTAATCTCTACTAATCCACATCACTCCTTAATTCTTCCTAAATTCAGCTAAAACTCCACCTCATCAAATAAGTCTTCCATGGGTACCACTTTCATCTTTATCTTTACGCTGTGTGTATCATATCAGCTGGTGTTTGTTGTTAATAAAAAGAAGACAAAGACAGGGAGGAACTCCTGCTTTTTAAAGGTCTTCTATGTGCCCTGTGCTTGGCACTTTTACAAAACAATATCAGTGTTATCCGTGTAAGGACCCCTCTCAGTAGGGGGTTTTATCTCCCTTCAATAAAAGAACCTCTGGCCTCACTTCCACAGTGCTTAGAACTGTGCTCTGAGGTCAGTGGGCTTTAAATCAGCACTTGCTCACTGACTATTTTCTCTATAAACCACAGAAGGTAAAGAAGTATGTTTCCGGTGACTTAAGTTAGACACATAGGAGAATTGCCTCACTACTCATCTGAGGGCAGGCGCTTCGGAGGAGGAAAGTCCACCCCCTGCCCCGGGAGAGGTGGAAGGAGGGCGGTCCTAACAGTCGCCACCCAAGCTCAGGATGGGTTAGCACCAACCACTCCCTCCAAATGGAACACAGGATGCCCAAGGGGGTGCTGGTGGCTCCCAGAGGGGTCAGGGCTGCAGCCTTCTCAAGCCTGGGTCTGCAGAAGCCTAGGACGATGGAATAACAGGCCAGGTAAGGAGACGGATGGAGGCCCTGATCTACCAGCAGGTGGGCGTAAAGAGTGAGGCCAGATGTGAGAACAGGGCTTGGCTTCTGCTCAAAAACACCTCAAGAAGTGGAAATTCCCTGAGGCCTTTCCAGGACTGCCTGCAAGGGACGGCAGCCACTCAGGCTGTCTTGAGGGGTTTTTAAGGAGCCGGAAGCCAACTCTTGCTGATGTCTTCATGAGTCCAGAAGGTGGTGGGAGTACTTCTCCACCAGAATCTCCCACATGACACGGGTCCAGTCGACATGGGCCAACTGGAACATGTGTTACAAAGGAAGGAGGAGCTGCCGAACGGTCACCTGCCAGCGTTTGGTGGAGACCTACTTGGAGGCCAGAGACCCTCGTGGATGAGGTCTGGGTGCCAAGCAATTTTGGCCAGGGGAGACCCCACCGAGACCATGGTGCTCTCTGGAGGCGCACCGAGTCCTCTGGCTGAGTCAGGCTCGGAGCTTGCCAGCCCACGGAGGGCCACGGAGTCGTGGGGAAGGTATCCTGGCCTGGCAGGCAGCGCTGCGGCTCTAAGAGCAATTACCCACGATTCCTCTAACCGTACCAAAGTACAAAACACCAGAGCTCGTCTCTAAGCCACAGCTTGGGGGAACAGTTCTGTGCAAGGCTTCTTGGCTGGAAAAAGAACTCCTAATTAACATGAAATAACAGCTTTCAAACACTTGACTCAGGATATGGAGTTGAAAGGCGTGGGCTGGATTTCAGAGAACCAGACAGGAAGAACAATAGTAGAATTGCTGAGCCCAAATGATGGAAAAGGTACTTGGAAGTGAAGCAAGAGGGGCAGTGTGAAGGAGAGGCTGACAGAGAAGAGGAGCTGAGAGCACAGGCTGGGGAGAGAAAGCAAAGCCTCTCGGCCACTGTCGGATGTGCCCAGCACGATGGGCAGACAGTTCCAGGAGCCTTTAGCTCCGACATGTTCTTGCGTGCAAAAGAGAAGCAGGAGATTGGAGGCCTCAGAGACTCTGCTCCTTCTCGCCATTCCCCAGACCTTGGCTGGTTTATAAGGCAGAGAACAATGCCGAAAACAGGACAAGGGACTTGTCAACGTGTTTGCCGAGCCCTGCTCACACATTTCAAGATGGTTCGAAAACATCTGCCATGTTACACTGGCACAGATGTGAAGATAAGCGTTAATGTGCTGCGTTTGATGTCCAAAGATACTGTAGATTCCATCTACTGAGGAAACCCTGAGGCAAAAAACCTGGGACCAACCAGCATTTCAATCTGTGGAACTGTCAACCTGATAGAGAGGGCACAGGGATGGCCGGGCTGAGATCATTTGCCGGCCACATCACCCAGGACCCACCACAAATTAAGTGAGATGTTCCTCTTAAGTATAGTAAGGCATCACATGCTGGGAAAATGGTCTATTCCTCTTCCCTGTACCTGGCTCAAAGTCCATTAATCTAATTAAAACGAATTTTGCCCAGAGACTCATTGAATACTTACAGGATATTAATGAAGAATAGAACCTCGCTAAAATACCAATCTAACAATGTTCCTGGTAGTCCAAATCTAGCATCACATGCAGTGCCTTTTATGATCTGGCTCCTGCCCACATGCTTAGCCTCTGTCTGCCCTCTGCCCGCCGGGTACCTCTCCTATTCTAGCCACGATCAACTTCCTCCGCATGTCACTCTCCTTCGTGCCCCTGGGTCTTTGCACATGCTGTTCCTTCTGCCTGGAATGCCTTTTCCGTCCGCTTCTGCTTTTTAAGCCTCTACTCATCTTTGGAGATTCAGGTCAAAGAGCCTCCCCAACTCCCAACCACTGAAGCCAGCCTTAAGTAATAGGAGCTAAAACTCCCAAATGGAAATGCAATTCCAGAAAATACAAGAGCTCTCAACTGTGGAATAATAAGCTATAAGCCAGGAGGCTTCTGCTTTCAAGATGGGTGAAATAATAACAATAACAGCAGCAGCTGTCAGACGCTGTAAATACGTAATCAGTGATCTCTACAACAACCCTCCAAGTTAGGCTGAGAGCTAAGGAATCTGCCCCAGTTCACGTTGCCAGTCGCTGTTAGAACAGAAATGTAAACCCAAACCCATTTGACTCCAAACAGCCAAACGAGAAACAGAGGAGAATGACTTGAAATGTTCTGGCCACACTAATGAAGATATGTAGCATTTTCTAATCCAGTGTTAAATATTTAAAACCCTAAAATGTGCAAAGATCTGTGTTAGATACTGTGTGGAATAAAAGTGGCATAAAATACAGTCCCTTGACCTCAGAGAAGTTACAGTCCAGTCAGCAGGAAAGACTTGCCACGAATATTAGGCAGGATTTCTGGCTTAGGGACAGATTAAGGCCCTGAAATCTGGGTAGGGCTGCAGGAAAAGTGGAGTTTGGGCTCCTGGGGTGTTGTTCCTAGGATACATCATACATGGTTCTTTAAAAAATGATCACATTAAAAAAAAAATTGATCACATTTGCCTGTGCTTTTTGTGACTTGCCTCTTTCACTCAAAAGTCAGGCACATATAAAATTCTAGACACTTGAAGGATGCAGTTAATCAAGGCTTTACTTTTCATTCAAACTGACAGAAACAATACTTTACCCCATTTTTGGAATTTTTTGAGAATTCCAAGGTAACTCTTGAAATAACTGTCTGGCTTAGTGTAGAGCTTAGAAAGAAGATACAGGCCCCTGGTGAAGCTCTGGGGCCATGTGGCCTGGTGACTTTTCACTGGGCACCCTGGAGGATGTACCAGGGCCAGGTTTAGTGTCTAATCCTCATCCCCAGGAAGACTTTC